TATGATACTTCTTCCTTTCGTCTTGGAACATTTGTCTACTTTTGATTTTTTAAAGTCAATCAAGATCAACATTTGATTTAAAATTGAATACGTAAAAATTATGGTACTCGCAGATTAATGAAGTAAAATAGTGTTTTGAATTCTTTTAAAGATAAATATGATTAAATTATTTTTTAACCCATATCAAATATTCATTTTATTTTATTTGTGGTCAAAGTTTATTAATTTTGACGATATAAAATTAAAACTAGACAAATATTCTGATATGGGAAGTACATAAAGAATGATATGGTCAGCAACTACCGAGAATACCAAAATGAAAAAATACTGCACCAAAAAAACAATTTTTTGGATTAAATTTGTGCACACTTTGACTACAAACAATGAAAATTTATATATTTAATTATAATGTAAATTTGATACAATTTGGTTTCTTAAAAATTATAGTTATGATATACTCTGTATCAAAACTTTACAAAGTTAACAAAGAAAGTAAAGTTAAATATATTTTTTTAAACGGAGAAAAGTATATGATGGCATTTATATCTTTTTAGATAATCAAATCTACTATATATATAAAAGCCCATTAGAAATCAATACCAATTGCAATTTCCAATTTTCCCGCCAGATTTCTTCATCCAATGGCTATTAATAAATTGGTACACATGGCAGTTGCACAAAAAATCTCAGTCCAAAAACATTTACAATCACTTGTGGACAAAAAATAAAAATAATACTGAGTATACAATTCACAATTCTCATCTACCGTGTAAAACCAAGCCAAGTAGTCCACAAATATACTATAAAAATGAACTGCCACTGCCCCACTTTGAATCTTCAAATTTTTCCCACATGAGTGATCCACAGATAATGACATTGCAAAGGCCACAAGTTCGGCCCAATTTCAACCCAAAATCGGCCCATGTCACTCTAATAAACCCTATTCCACATTTCAGAGCTTCAGTTATTATTATAAATACATCACCATTCAATCTCTCAATACATCACTTTCCAAAAACCCTGATTTTTTCCTCCATCTTTCCATATCTGTGTAGATATACGTAAATATATAGCTCTTTATACACACACACACACACACACACACACAATAATATACATATAGAGGCTCAGATTTTTATTTCCGATTTTAAGTTTGAGGCCAAAAGATAAACAAATTCGCCATGGCTGCAGCAACGAGGGAGGTTTTCGTATCCATGGATATGTATATCACACTTTTGATATGGCATTAAGCCTTACAGCAGTTTTTATAGAACTGCGTATATGTATTTTACAATAGAGGCTCAGATTTTGAAACCCATTTTCATACTCGAGTCATATAAGAAAAGAAATCACAATGGTTGCAAAAAACCTAACTTCAAGTGTTTGGAATTAGGTGTTGTGGAATCTGGTCATGCACACACAAAGACAAAGAGCTGGGAGGATTTCGTTGGGAAGCAAATGTATAACTCAGTTTGGTTTCAAAGGATCCCCTATGTAGTTATGAAGAAACATGTCTGATCTATATGTATATGTAAGATGTAGATGGTGTGTATCCAGGAATGCAGTTTTGATTGCATATATGCATATATGTATTTTGCGGTTTTGATTGCATATATGAATTTTTAAATAGAGGCACAGATTTTGAAACCCGTTTTTATACTTGAGTCATATAAGAAACGAAATCGCCATGACTACAAAAACGGTTAATCCCGTTAAGCCATGCCAAGATTCGTTGCGTTTCTTGGATGATTCAAACATTACGGAAAGCTTAATAGTCACATTAAACGGATTTCATATAAAACATTATATCATCACAGCCATATATTCATACACACCCACAAAAAATGATACGTTTTAGGCAATGTAAGAAACGATACCGCCATGGCTGCTACAACAGTGATTAATCCCATTGCGCCACGCCAAGTTACGCTCATTTTCTTCCATGCCTCAAACATTAAAAGCCAGAATTGCCCAAAACCAGTTTTCAGTCCTTCCATATCATGTTAACCAACCTTGCATTCAGAGACACACATAGACATAGTTTTTGGAAAGTAGAAAAAGGATCCTTGGTGCTGTAAAAAATTGTAACATATAAATGTTGTTTTGAGTTATTTGTCTAACAGATATGTAATTCAGGATTATTATAATTGAATATGAAGATGAATAGTCTAATATTATGTGTGTATAAATTTAAAAGTACTTTTATTACCCGAAAATGACATAAATTCTAGACATATTTCTTTAAAATTGAAAATAAAATTATATCGTAAAAATTAAATGTTCAGCAAACGAAAAAATGAGAAATTTTTTAGAAATATATTTTAGAAAGTAAAAAAAGGAACCTTGGTTTTGTAAAAAATTGTCACATAATTAATGAGAAATTTATTACTCTTGAAACTGTATCCTCTTATACATTATTCATAATAACAATGTGCATACAAGATCCTCCTTATAATTTAAATCAGAATAAATTAAAAAAAAGTTACTGACATTAGAAAAAGATACATTCTGTAAATGGGAATAAATAGGTACTGTCTTCCATGGGAATAAAAAGTTACTGTCTTCCATTTCAAAAAGGCCAGGAAAACGCACACATGGGGGTTCTCAATGAATAGCATCCCCAAACAATTCTCATTTATATGGATATAAAATGAATTAATAATTTAGACATCCTCATTTATATATAATGAATAATATATATGTGTGTGTGTGTGTGTGTGTCTCTGTGTGTGTGTGGGTGTTTAAAGATCTAATAAATAAATACTTAAAGCTCTATATATCTAAAGAATATATAGATCTCAAGATGTAAATCGGAAGATATATGTATGCGAAGAACAAAAAACAATAAATATCACACAGTTTAAAACTATATTCGTTTTAATTAAAACAAGATTAAATCAAACCTGTGTCAAAAACAATCCAAAAAATCGAGGTTGAACAAACCACAATTGGAAATGAATCCATGTCCGCATCGTCAAGAACAAAATGGTTTTTTGGTGAGTATATGAGAGAGATGTGGTAGGAGAGTGGCAACAGATAGATGAAGACGGAAATGAGAGTTTAGTGAGATGGTGGAGAGCGGCGGCACAGATGTGAAGACGGGAAGAAGAGTTAAGGTTTGGAAATTACGGGTTTTATATTTTTTCGTTCTGGGCCATTAAAAAATGTTGGGCCGGTCGATTTTGTGGGCTTGCTTTTATTTAATACTTCTCTCTCACATAATACTACAGTTTAGTTTATAAGAAGGTTTTTTGAAATGTATAATTGATGTTAAATATACATTGTTTACTTTAATGCATTTGAATATTAGGTATGGAATATAGTCTACTTTAGATCACATTCTTTATGTTAGTAATTTTATTTAGAATTAAATAAATAATAAGATATGTAAGCAGATAGACATATCTGCCCATTTATTGAATACTCCATCCGTCCACGAATAAATATTACATTACGCGTTACAATGTTTCACTGGAATTATTTTTAAATCATTTTATATGAAAAATGGTGTAGAATTGAAAAATAAAAATTACATATTAAAAAACTATATCAAAAGATCTACCAAACTAGAGGTGACAAGACTTTATTATTTTATCAAATGGGTGCTGAAAATAGGCCAACAAAGTGAATAAAGTTTGACCCTATGAATAGTGAACGTAAAGTTTATTTATGGACGGAGGGAGTAATATTCAGTATCAACTATTTTCATATCTTTTTTGAATTTGTGATAGACTTATCTCTCCGTGCATCGCACGGGCGATACACTAGTACGGAGTAATATGTAAGAAAATAGGTTTAGGCCATATTCTTTTCAGTTGATCTGCTTGAAATAAGTTCTGATTTAATCTGATATGAATGTAGTTATATTTAAAAGTATTTCTTATCTAATCTGATTTCAATAAAAATAAGTAATAAGTAAAAGTTAAGTTTGGGAGAATATGACCTTAATGGATATCAGAGTATTTATTATTTGAATACAATATTACTTTTTTTACCACAAATTAAACTACTTAATTATTATTTTTTAATCAAATTTTATTTATTTCCTTTAATTATTTTTATCAATTATTTAATACTCCGTAAAATAATACGGAGTACAATCTTATCAATTCTTGTTCTAACTACTCCCTCCGTCCGGTATTAATCTTCCCATTTGGACTTTTTCCCATTTTTTTGAAGTGTTGACTTTAGGATTGAAATGTCCAAAATGCCCTCCCCTCAATTGTCCCCACCCACTACCCCTGCAGCCCTGCCCCTTGCTCCCACCATATCATTTCCGTCAATCCCATCCCACCGCTACTGTAGGCCCTAAAGTACAGCCGACGCCCCACTATCGCCGCAGCCCTCATCACCATCTCAGCCCCTAGATCTTTACACCTTACAGATTTAGAAGAAAAACAAATAGAACAGGGGGAATAAGAAGCGGAAGAAAGAAGATAAATTGATTTGGAGAAAGAAAAGAGGGATGAGAAAGAATGGGGGGGAGAAGAAGAAGAAGAAAGAGGAGCGGATCTAGAGGGAAAATTGAGGACGAGAAAGAACGGAGGGGAGAAGGAGGAGGAGGAGGAGGAGAAGAAGAAGAGATCTGGAGGAAAATAAACAGAAACGAGAAAAAACAGGGGGAGAAGAAGAAGAAGAAAGAAGCAAAGGGAGGCACCTGGTGGTTGATGTATTTCCACTTCTCCGACCAATTCTCAAGAAGAAGAAGAGGAACAAATGTAGAGAGAAGACGAAGGAGGAAAAGAGAGGAGATGCGAGGAATTAAGGGAGGAGAGAGAAAGGGGGGAAGGGAGAGAGTGAATATTAGTAAGTGGGGGTATTTTGGGTAGTTAGTGTATGAAAAATTGAAATGGGAAGATTATTTCCGAACGGAGAAAAAGGAGAAATGAGAAGATTATTTCCGGACGGAGGAGTATTTTTTTAATGTAATATAAAATTATAATTTTTAATTTTTTGAAGTCAAATTATAACAAGAATTTCGTTGTGAACTCTCACGAGTCACGAGAGATGCATCCACCAGGGAGGGATACGATGACTGGCACGGCACGTTCTTCAGCTATCTCTCGTTTGATGTGATTCATTTCCGATCAGCTGAATTTTCACCTGACGCCAGCTTTTTCATCTGGTCATTTCTGGAAGGAAAACCTTCCTCGCTTCATCTTTTCAAGGTTCTTGTCCCAAAGAAAAGAATCTTTCGTGGTTCTTTAGGAATTTCAGAGATTTTACCTTTACCATAACCCTCGTTTCTTGAATCTCTCTGCTCCGATTAGTCCAGTTCGAGATTTTACTTTCTTTAGCAGTAGTATTATTCCAGTTCCAGCCCCAATGTATGATGAATGCGTTTAATCCGTTTAGGGTGTTTTTTGGATGGGGATGATCTAATGCTTGGATTGATTCGTTGGGTTATTTGATTCTTTCTGGGCATGCCTGAGAATTTGCTCTCTCCTAAATTGGATTCAATCTATGAGGACAACCCATTCATTTGGGTCTGGTAGTCCCAAATCCTTCCAAGCCTACCCTAGAGGGGATTTTGACCTAGAATCTGGGATTCTCAAAAGAAGCAGAAATCCCAAAAGGCCTCCTTTTCATCCCATCAGAATGATCAAGTCATTGGGTAACCGGATAAAGCACTACTACAAGGTTCACCCGATTTTGCTCTTCTTGATCTCATTTTGCGCTGCGGTTATTGTCATTGTTATGTTGTCTTCATTCGAGACCCGGTTTCGGCTGATGGGTACATTCAAGAAACTCAATGAGAGTGCAGAAATGTATCCATTTTCGACATTCAAGAATCTGGTCATGGTTGCGGGGCATTCCGTTTATACGAGCAGTAGCTGTGAGAGTGTGGACAAGGAGAATGCTTGGTTTCTGGAGTCATACCAGAAGCATCCTGGCCAAGCTGAAACTTTTGTCGCGCATATACAGAAGGGAGTTGAACTAGCTGCAAGAGATGGCGCTGCATTGCTCCTGTTCAGCGGTGGCGAGACAAGGAAAGAGGCTGGGCCCAGAAGTGAGGCACAGAGCTATTGGGTTGTCGCCGAATCTAAAGGATGGTTTGGTGAGCCAATGTGAAAACCTAAGGGTTTCCAATTTCTGTTTTTCTGATTGAAGATTATGATAACTTATGAAAGTTTCTTTCCGATGCATATGTAATTTCGTGTCTGCTTCTTTGATTCTGAACCCATGATGCATTTTCTGCAAAGCATTGTTTTTGATAGCGTGCAGCGAACCAAATCAAACAAACCTAGTATATCCCACTCAAGGTGTAGCTTTTAGAAATAGTTTATATGAAATGCTCTACTGGTATGCTATTTCTAAGGTCTGCATACATCTTGCCTCCCTAGACCCTTCTCTTGATTAAAATGCATTGGGTTTGTTTGGTTTGGTTATTTACACGAGGAAGTTGTGTGTTGTGTCTCCCACTTTTTTTCCAAACAAAATGTCAATCCGAAACCAAGTTCCTCTTCTTCCTCTTGAAAATACTCAAACTTCAACAATTCTATGCAGGAAACCAAGAAAGTGTGAGGGGCAGAGCACTCACCGAAGAACATGCAAGAGATAGTTTTGAGAACCTTCTTTTTAGTGTTTGCCGGTTCCGTGAACTTACTGGTTCATATCCACATAATATAACAGTAAGGCCATTTGTAAGACTTCTATGCGATCATAAAATTTGTGCATTTTTTAAGATTCAAATTTGTGCAGATTAATTTTGAAAACAATAAAGCTTAACTCTTAGATACACTTTTTGAAACACTAAAGTTAAAGGCTGAATCCGTTGCCAAATGGGCACTAGATCACTCCAACAACATATTACAAACAGAAGTTGACGAATATACCTACACGTATTGATCTCTAATCTGCGTTTAAATCAAAATGCAGGTGGTGGGTTATGACTTTAAGGCAGAGAGATTTGTTCAGCTGCACCGCACGGCCATAGGATTCCCAGAGAGTAGATTCTTTTACTCGGGGACCCTATCCTCGCTGGCTTCAAGGGAAGGGGCTTTGAAAGGTGAGGCTGTGGTGAGAGGTCAGTTTGAGGATGATCCTTATGGGTGTAAGGGCTCACTGTTTCGGAAGAAACTGGGACGCGATCCATTTCACCGTTCAATCCCTTACCCCAATGGGTGTCCTGAAATTGAAGGGCTGTTCAGATACTGTGGTGCAGCTCCCTATCCAGGTTCCTTGCCTTGGGGCCCTGTAGATAGTTGATGTTTTTTTTCCTTTTTCTTTTTTTAATCAATTGAAATGCTTATGTATCTCTGGCAGTTCCCTTGCCTTTTGTTTACAAGAATGTACTCCATGTTCTGTTATGTTTTTTTGTCCATGATCTATGAGATTTCATTGTAAAAAAAAAAAAAAACAAAGGTTCTAACACTCACCTCGGGTGTCATATTATTACACCAGTCATTTGAAAGTCTTATAAAATTCTAATGGGTCCTACCCCAGAAACCCTCTTGGCTCCCATGGAAAAATGTTGAAAAACATGAAATGCTAAAATTTTACTTTAGCATTTTGGTGTTTTTGTATACACATTGAGAGTTTTTGGTCTTGCTTTTTATATTTAAAAAAATTATTCTTTCATACATCCAAAAATAATATGATTTTCAATTTTCAGTCTGGAGTATACATTTGTCCCAAATTAATTTATCTTCTTTGCCTTCGCCCATTAATGTAAATCAATATTTTTGAAAAATTATTGATTTAAAAAGAACTTCCCATCAACGAGTAGTCACAATTTGTTTAAAAAGAAAATATTTTAGACCCACATATTTTTTTTGTTAAAATATTGTCAAAAATTACCAAATTGATTACGGAGTAAATGGAAAGCAGAAGTTAATCAAGCAGACCACCCTCAAGGTGGGAGTTGGCTCTCATTCGCATAAAAAACAAACCTTTCTTTCAAAACTCCCAACAAACACCATTTTCAACTACCACTCACTCGCACTCTGCTCTCTCTTTTTTCACAGCCGCCGCGCCTGGCGGATTCTCCTATGTTTCATCTGCTCTTCCACCTTCCTCCTCCTCATCATATACCCTCCGCTTCCCAGTCCTCCTCTTTCTCTATCTAAAACGTACACAACTGCCGTCTGCAAGTCCAAGAGCCCAAGAGCAGGTTTGCAATAATGGCTTTAGCTCCCACTTCCACCCAGATATCAAAACCGCTCTTTTCCACTAGACCCATTTCTCAAAGAGGCATCTTTCTGCTGCCCGCCTCATCCAGCGCTCAATCCCGGAAATCTTTAATCCGATGCTCTGTAGCGGCGGCTCCGGCGACTGCGGCCGTTCCTGCGGCGGCCAAGCTGAAGTCTTTGAAGGCCAGGCAGATAATTGACAGCAGGGGAAATCCGACTGTGGAAGTAGATCTGGTGACTGAGGGTGGGCTGTACCGGTCGGCGGTGCCCAGTGGAGCTTCCACCGGGATCTACGAGGCATTGGAGCTCAGAGATGGTGACAAGAGCGTTTATGGAGGCAAGGGTGTCCTTAATGCTGTCAAGAATATTAATGCAATCTTGGGTCCTAAGCTTGTCGGAGTAGATATCAGGTAAACTTTTTAGATTCAATCCACCAATCCTTTGTATCTATTGCCGTGAATTTTTATTGTATTTGCTGAACATCCGGACTTAAAAAGGATTAATATACGGAGTACAACAATATGAGTAACTTCTTTCTGCCGTATTAGTCACAACTCTAGAATGATATGGCCAGGTTTAATAAAATCTTGTTAAATCCAAAACAAGCAAGAACATAAGTTGCACAGAGCTTTCTGGCATCACTAAATTAAGCTACTTTTTTTAAATTTCTTGAAATGTTTTGAGACGTTTGACAATGTGAGGTACTCATTTATTGGTGATACAAAAAGGAACCAGGCCGATGTGGATTCACTTATGTTGGAGATCGATGGAACTACTAACAAATCCAAATTGGGAGCGAATGCGTTGCTAGGAGTCTCTTTGAGTGTGTGTAGAGCAGGTGCCGGGGCCAAAGGGATACCTTTGTACAAGCACATTCAGGAGCTGTCCGGAACCAGAGAGCTCGTCATGCCTGTTCCTGCATTCAATGTGATCAATGGAGGCAGTCATGCTGGCAACAATTTGGCTATGCAAGAATTCATGATTTTACCTGTTGGAGCTGCCTCGTTTGCAGAGGCACTCAAAATGGGCAGTGAAGGTTTGTCAAGCCCCTTCTATTCATTTGTATGAATGTGCATACGTTCAATATTCAAGAACCTTATAAAAATACGTTCCCACTTCCCAATGATAAATGTATGAGTTGTACCCCTACTTTGTTCTTAATTTGTCTGTGCTACTGTATGTACCTTGTCCGTGGGTTTTTGTTTGTGCCGGGGTCTCTTAGAAACAGTCTCCTCTTCGGAATAGGGGTAAGATCTTGGATTTTCTGGGTTTGTAGTTCAGTAGTTGTTTGGTGATCATTTGTTTTAGTATGCAATATCTTCTCTATAATTATAATTCTTTTTTTAAAGAATTTGCTGTGATTTATTTCAACAGTGTATCACACCCTCAAGGGAATCATCAAAGCAAAATATGGGCAGGATGCATGCAATGTTGGAGATGAAGGAGGATTTGCTCCAAATGTTCAAGACAATAGAGAGGGATTGGTATTATTAATGGATGCAATTGAAAAAGCAGGCTACACTGGCAGGGTAAGAGTCATTCAGTAGTATTATTTTCTTTCTTTTTTCTAATACATATAAACTATGTTCGAAATCAATGGGAAAATGGCATTTATAGGGGGGGGGAGGGGGGAATGCTTAGGTAATTTTCTGCATATTCCTTAGTCTTTTTATAGTAATATAAATAAATTGAGTTTGAAAAAATATATTTGTTGAGTTCCACGTAAAGTTTGTATCTTTTCCCCAAATTTTCTTTCTTTCCAAATACTTCTATTTTCCTCTCAGCCATTTTCTGGGTTACAGACTGACCCTACTGTATATCAGATTCTAATGGACTAAAAGGGCCTTGCTTGTACAGATCAAAATAGGCATGGATGTTGCAGCATCAGAGTTCCTTACGAAAGACGGGAAGTATGACCTTAATTTCAAGAATCAGCCAAATGATGGCTCTCATGTGCTTACTCCTGAGAGCCTTCTTGAGCTGTACAAGCAGTTCGTCAACGATTTTCCTATTGTATCGATTGAAGATCCCTTTGACCAAGATGATTGGAGCTCTTGGGCAGCACTAGAGTCATCTGTTGATATCCAGCTTGTGGGTGATGATTTGCTGGTGACAAATCCAAAGAGAATAGCTGAAGCCATTCAGAAAAAGGCCTGCAATGCTCTACTGCTCAAGGCATGTGATCTTTCCTCACTATTTTCCTTCCTTCCAATGTAGTTTTCAGGATTGAATTAGTGGTTGTGACTCTTATCCCACATGTGTATAAAATGATATTCAGGTCAACCAAATAGGTAGCGTGACGGAATCCATTCAAGCAGCACTGGACTCAAAAGCAGCGGGATGGGGGGTCATGGTTAGCCACCGCAGCGGTGAAACAGAAGACAATTTCATTGCTGACTTGTCCGTTGGTCTCGCCAGTGGGCAGGTAACCTCTCTCTCTCTCTCTCTCACACACACACACGCATATATCTCCTCTTCTCTTTTGTTTTCAAATATGACCTTTGGTGTTCTCTTTTTTGTTATGTAGATCAAAACAGGAGCTCCCTGCCGAAGTGAGCGCCTTGCCAAGTATAACCAGGTGAGATCAGACAGTTTCTCTTGCAAATTTTTTTCCTTTCCTCTTCTCATCTTTCTTGCATAGCAAATGGGTAAAAATGGGTGTTTTAGTTTTCAAGTTTTTTTTAAAAAAAAAAACATCAAGATGTGTATGAATATGATGATGTTGACCATACTTGCCATTGCTGGTGTCATTGCAGCTTCTGCGCATTGAAGAGGAACTTGGAGATGTTCGCTATGCTGGTGAATCTTTCAGATCGCCGTGAGGAAAGCAAGACAGAGACTCACCAGATGGAATAGTTACATCTGGTCTTTGCTTGTTGTTTTTAGTTGTTTGTTGTAGGAAAGAGGAATAAGTATGAAAGCATTTATGTATTCTTTAAGGATATCATGTATCTTTTCTTCCAAAGTTATTGTGAAATTTCGTCTGGTCATTGCCTCTAAGGTATGTTTGGATCACAAATTACTGTGTTTTGAGATTGTTTAAGAAACCTCTGTTTACATGTCTGCTGTTTCAGTGCAACTAAGATCAAGAAAGTCATCAACTTTGAGAAATGTGAAGAAACTGCAACTCAAGTTTTCTGTAAAAGTTTTTTTTCACATGATGATTCAAGATTTTCATAAGATATTAAAGCTACTGCCTTTCTGCGGCACCTTTCTAGTTTCTATTGAACCAACAAAACAAGAAAAGCAAGTTTCCATTTTTGGCTCATCATAAGAACTTTCTTGCAGTGCTGATTGTGTTTCAAATATGAAGCCCATCTGCAGCTGACCCAAGAGAGAAGACATTTTGTCATGCATCTTCATCAGAAAAAACTTTCAACAATCTTTTTAATGATATAAATTAATTTTGAAAATGTTAAAATTAAACAATAGCATCAGATAATTGTCAAAATTCTAAAGCTAAATGCAAAAGTTGTTGCCAAAAGACATAAAAGAAGAATAAATTAAATAACCCCCTCCCTTTATATATTGACAAATATATAAACACATACATACAAGGGTTGCAATTTTTACACATAAAAGAAGAATAAATTAAATAACCCCCTCCCTGTATTTACATTTATTTAATTATTTACCAACACAGAGAAAAGGGTACACATTTTTCTGATCATTATTTATTCAAGTAAAAAAACACACTTGCAGCCCTCTTTTCTGCACATCATCATTATCATCACCATGCTGGGTCAGTCAGCACTCAGCACAGACAGAGTTTTCAAGATGACAGGGTTCTGAGCAAGAAGATACCCATGCCACCAACAGCCAAGCTGAGCAGCAATGGAACTCCAATGGCTTCAATCTCTCCCATCCTTCCCGGCGTCCTCTCTTGCTGAGCAGCCCTCTCTCCATATCTCTCCCGCACCGCGTTGCTCAACATGTCCATCTGATGCATGATCTGCCGCTGCCCTCTCCCAACTGCAACCACCTGTTGGGATTCAATTGTAGAACTGTGAACCACTCCTTTCTTTTCCATAAATGTAATGACAACATTTTAGGACAACTGAGGAATGAAAACAAGTTTTTTTTAAAAAAAAAGAATGTTTGATGTGGGACTTTTATGTCCTCTAACAATAATAATATACCTCTTCCATGAGAGGGTCCCTGCCCAATTGTGAAGAAGAAGATGAGTGACGCAACATGGAACCCCCAGTCAACG